CACACCACCCCAAACAGGCATGGATAATGGGATTTACGAAACACCACAGAATGGAGGACAATGGCTAGAAGGGCCACATCAAGCAATTCACTGCACATGCCATAAGCTGGAGATCATTCTTAAATGCTCCTTATATACAGGAAGCAGATCACGTCGCAAAGGCAGCTACTCAGCTGCTTGTGGCAGATCCCACCATGGAGCTGATTGCCAGTCTCATCATGGGGAATAACTACCACCAGCTGCCCAGCCAGTCAACCAGGCCCAGCCAAGCTGACACAAAAACATAACCACCACACAGAGCTAGCATAATTATCAAAACTAAGACAATAATATTGGCTCAATCCTTTATTCTGATTTTAACCAGTTTTTCTCTAATGTTCATTTTACATTATGGAGTCTAATCCAAGGTGCCACATTATACTTAGTTGGCATGTTTCCTTAGTGTCCTTTGATGTGCAACAACAATTTCTTGACCTTTCCTTGAAAATTTTGATGAATACTGGTCAGGCATTTCATGGACTGTCCCTCAGTTGGGGTTTGTCTGATATTTTCTCTTGAGTCAGGTATGACTCGACGGCACATAACAACAACAACAACAACAACAACAGACTAGAGTTAGCAAGTTTGGAAAGAAGATCCCAGAGAAGTACCTTTCTCATCACCTTTTATCAGGGGGACCTGATATCCACATGAGTTATCTCTGGTGCTCTTTACCTTGGTTGCTGGGTTAAGGTGGTATCTGCCAGGTTTCTCCACTGCAGAGTCACTGTTTTTTCCTTCTCATTCTGTTTATTAGAATCAGGGCACTAAATTAAGCCTTTACTCGAGGAGAGGGGAATTAAGCTCTACTTTCTGTAGAGAGAAGTATCAGAGTATTTGAGGGTAGTTGTTAGAAGCACCACCAGAGCACTTTAGGCAGAAAACACATTTTCCCCTATAGAAAAAAGCCTATACTGTTCAACCAGTACTATTGACAATAGTGGTAAATAATAGAAGTAGCTGATATCCATGGCAGATTTCACAACACATGTGTCCATAGCTTTACACTCAATGCTTGAAAATATTTCCTACCTTATGGGATTGTTTATCCCATGTTAGAAACGTGATGCAGAAATTTGTCCAGTGGCAAACGGCTTGTCAGAGACTGCTAGACCCAGATTGGGTCTGTCTAGTTCTGGGAGCCCTGTTCTTAACCACTGGGATGACCTGGCTCCAAATACGTCAGGGAAAGGTTAGTTTATATTCCATATAGAGATTCAACATTAGTGAAGTAGGTGCTCTGCTCTTGAAGGATGTTCCTTGAGTGTGCTGCTCTTGGAGGGATTAGGTAAGCAAAAGCATGTAGAAGTGAGTGAGGCCATCATTTGGATGGTGCAGACTAAGTATGGTGTTCACATAATGAAATCCCAAAATGGGTGCTCTTATGAACTGCTCATCACCCCTAAGAATTCTGAGATTTTTTCTTTTGTTTCCTCAGCGCATTTACTATCTTTCCCTGGAATTCTACATGGGCCGGACACTGCAGAACACAATGGTGAACTTGGGCCTTCAGAATGCTTGTGATGAAGCTATTTATCAGGTACAATGTTTTTGTGGTGGCTTCTGGGTCATCCTGAGGGCCTCTCTTGACACATTGGGTTTTTAATCTAGTTTCCCCCAGAGGTAATTACTGACATTAAGATTTATAGTTGTCTGGAATTGAGGACATGTGTAACAATGTAATCTACCATACATAGAAGAGAGGCACTCCTCCTTCTCAAGGAGAAGAAGGGAGAATTGGATAATGTCTTAGGTTGAGCTTTTCAGAGAAGCAAAATCAGTGAAATTTATGTATGTATATGTAGAGAAAAACATTTATCTCAAGGAAATGGCTCACACACTTGGAGAGGATGGCAGATCCCAAGTTTGTGGGTCAAATGTCAAGCTGGAGACTTCTCCTGACTCACTTATCTGCAGAAGCTGATGAATCCAAGATTGGTAGACACTGTTGCAAGCTGCTGGCTTTGGAGGATGATGAATCCAAGATCAGCAGGTAAAATGGCAGATTGTTAGCTCACAGGCTATGAAGGCAATAATCCCAAGATTGGTAGGCAATACGACAGGCCACTGGTTCAGATCCAGGGACTGGAGATGATGATGAGCTAGGCAGAGAATCAAGGTCCAGTAGAAAATCAGAGAGTTTTCCTAGGTGGTCCATACATCTTTTAGAAGCAGGCTACACCCCTGAGGAAACTCCCTTTCAGCTGATTAGCTGTTCCTAGCACATCTCATCATGGAGGTAATTACATTATATCAGTTTTCATCATGGGAAATGAATACATCATAACTGCTTAACCCATTTAGAATCATGGTTCTGCCGAGTTGACACACAACCTCAACTATCATAGAAGGGAAGATGATACACTGCAGTGTAAGGACTGGGTTGAATTGTGATGCTAAGGTTTGGAGGCTTGTAGAAACTGTTGCAATCCTCATTCCCACTCTGAGGGCAGACTTACAACATGGCAAATTATTAATATTAATTAATTAATATTGTTCTGTTTCTTCTTACATTATTAAACTAGCTACCCCCCTCTGTCCTTAAATTAACATCTTGACTCACACTGTCTTTTGGTTGTAAAATTTCCTTTTTCTGTCCTAATCAGAATGCAGGCTGCTATTCTTAAGGGTTCTTCACTAATAGTTACTCATTTTGAAGCTTCATCCTCCTGAAGTTCACTTGCAGCTTCAGAGCAGAGCTGTTACTGGCTGCCTTTCCGTTTTCTAGTCTGTGCCCTTTACTTCCTCTCCCTGGAAGCTGCCTTTCTCTCCTAGAAGACTCTCCAGTGTAGAATTCCAGAGAGTGGAAGTAGGAAGCTGTCTTCACTGTTTGCATGTGTATAGAGGGGTCATCACTGGAGCTGTCCTTTCTCCTTGATTCTTTCACTGCTTTTGGTTTTCGTGTTGATTTTGTTCAGTGAGTGGGGTGGGGTTTTGATCTGGCAGTGCAGTGTAATTCAAGGGTGACTGATATACCTGTTGGTGTTGCCAGGGCCTCCTTTCTCTCCCTCTAGTACTTAGGGAGCCATCAGGTCTGGGGTAAGTTATTTCACTTGGTGCGTGCACATGTGCGCATATACACACATACATATACAAATATGACTCTCCAAAATAGTAATCCTATGCTCAAAATTATCTAAAGAGATAGAAGTTATTGGAACAGGTGACTTGTCAGGTCTGGGATAAGTAATTTCAGTTGGCACACACACACACACACATACAGAAATATGACTTTCTAAAATAGGAATCCTATGCTCAAGCTCTGGTAGCATAGTGCCTAAGGCACTTGACTGCTAATCAGAGGCTGGTGGTTCAAACCCACCAGCCACTCCTCAGAAGGAAGGTTGGGCAATCTACTTCTGTAGTGATACTGCCTTGGAAACCCAAGGAGGGGTCATTATGAGTCGGGTCTGACTTGATGGCACACAACAACAACAACAATGCTCAAAATTATCTAAAGAGAGAGAGCTCCTAGCTGATGACTTGTCATTTAAGTTCCATTCATTGAATAGTAATGTGAAGACATGCTTTTAAGGAATTGGATGAATAATTTCTTTGGTAAGGATCAGCACAATGTTGGATCCTCTGAGATGGAAGTTAAAGATATCCAAATGTCCAAATTTCCCAGACTGCTGTACTGCTCCATCATCTCTGACATCAAGTATTCCTTTTCCCCTTAGTACTCTCCCTCCTATCTTTGGGTTCCACAATTCACTGCAATATCTTACAGAAGTCATGAACCATCAAGGAAGTGGCTCACATGTATGAAGTCTGACAAGTCCCAAATCCGTGGTTCAAGCTTCAAGCTAGAGGCTTCTGCTGACTCAAGTCATTGCAAAGGCTGAAAAACCCAAATGGGCAGGTCAGACAACAGCCTTCTGGCTCACAAGACTGTGCATGTGGTGAACCAGGTCAGACAATAGGCTGCTAGCTCAAGAACTGGAGGTCAGATAGAGTGGGAAGGCAAGCCAGATGCAAGTTCCAGAGCAAGAGAGAGAACTTTTGCCAGAGCATTTATATAGATAGTGAATGAAACCATACCCTCAAGAAAACTCTCTCGAGCAAGGTGATGCAAGGATGTGACTTGAACAAGCATGGTAAGGGTGGTTGGTGACTTGAGTCACATCCTCTAGTAAGGCAGTGAGTGACTCAAGATACATCCCGCCCTAATCCTGCCTTATTAACATAATGGACAGCTCAGTCCCAAATGGGACTGTAACTACAAACCTAGAGACTAGGATTTACAACATATAACAAAATGGAGTGTAATTATGTGAGATCACAAAATGGAGGACAATAGCATCAGATTACAAAATGAAGGATGACTGCATCATTATGTAACTGCCAGATTACAAACTACCAAACCACTGAACTCTGATAGAGTAGTGCCTGAGGCACTTGACTGCTAACCAGAATGCTGGTGGTTCAAACCCACCAGCCACTCCTCGGAAGGAAGGTTGGGCAATCTACTTCCGTAGTGATACCACCTCAGAAACCCAAGGAGGGGTCGACATGAGTCAGGACTGGCTCGATAGCAAACAACAACAACAACAAAACCACTGAAAATTGTGGCCCAGCTAAGTTGACACATAACCTTAACTCTCACTGTTTCCATACATCTTATTTGCATAAACAGGAAGCTGTCCAATCCCTTGGTAGGCCACAAGTACCTTATTTGCATAGTCTCACGCAGTCATTGTGTGGGAGTCACAGAGACTATGGCTGGAAGGGCTATATTAAGAAATTCACTGCACTGTAGTACAGAGCAAACAATTCCTTAGTCATATCTTCAGTGGAGTTTACATTTTTTCAAGACTTTAATTTTCATTGCAGAAAATTTCAGATATACACACAAATTGAATTACTGTTAAAATGGAATTCTTTCGGGTATACTTCTCTTGACTTTACTGTTGTCATCTCCACCTCCTGGCCAGGCTCATTTCACATACATGCCCATCACTCCCAAATTACTTAAGCCAATATTAGACAGCATGTGTTTCACTTTTAAACACTTCAATATGTATTTCTGAAAGATGTTTGTGTTAGCTGCTCTCAAGCAGCCCCGATCTCATGGTGATTGTGTGCATAACAGGGTCTTACCATTGTGATGCATAGGGTTTTCACTGGCTGGTTTTGGGAAGTAGATTTCCATCTTTCTATGGAAACTCCACTGAAACTTGTTCAGCATTCATAGCAATACACAAGCCTTCATTGATAGATAGGTGGTGGTTGCATATGAGGTGCATTGGCCAGAAATTGAACTTCAGTCTCTCTTGTGGAAAGCAAGAGCTCTACCATCGAATCACCACTCCCCTTTTTCTAAAAATTAAGGACTGAAAACTGGCACATTGTTATTGCTCCTAAAAAAAACTGATGGAGTTCTTTAATATCATAAGTTTTTCGGACAGTGTATAAATTTCTGATTGTCTCATAAGTTTTTTAACACATTTGTTAAGAAATTAGCAACCAACATTGCATTTAATTGGTATGTCTCTTAAACGTTTCTTAATTTATAAATGTCTCCTTATATTTATTTTCCTGCCTTGAAATTTACTTGTTGAAACTGGGCTTTCCTGTAGTTTCCTGCTGTCTGATTTTGACTATGTACAAAATCTAAAGAATCCACTGAATAAAATACTAGAACTAATGAATGACTTCAACAAGGATACAGGATACAAGATCATTAGACAAAAATAACCTGCATTTCTATACACAAGCAATGAATAATCTGAAATGAAATTAAGAAAACCATTCTATTTATAATAGCATCAAAAACAATAAAATTTCTAGGAATAAATTTAACAAAAATACAGACTTATACTCTGAAAACTATAAACATTGTTGAAAGAAATTAAAGAAGAGCTAAAAATGGAAAGACATCCCATGTTAATGGATTGAAATACTTAATGTTGTTAAGATGGCCGTTATTCCCCAAATTGATCTGCAGTTTAGTTCAATCCCCTTTAAAATCCCAGCTGATTTCCTTGTAGAGATTGACAAGCTTATTTTAAGAAGAACAGAGCTGAAGGAGTCACACTCACAGTTTCAGTATTTAACTGTGTGACACTGCTAAAAGAATACACATATACATCAATGTAATAGAATTGAAAGTCCAGAAGTAAACCCTCACATTTATGGTGAATTGATTTTTGAAAAGTACTAGAGGCTAGGATTTGCAGCACATCACAAAATGGAATATAATTACATCAGATCACAAAACGGAGGACAATAACATCAGAGCACAAAATGAAGGATGTAACTGCCAAATTACATCATTACAAATTGCCAAACCACTGAAAATCATGACCCAGCTAAGTTGACACATAACCTTAACTATCACAGTTTCCATGCATCTTATTTATATTAACAGGAAACTGTCCAATCTCTTAGTGGGCCACAAGTGCCTTATTTGCATAGTCTCACCCAGTCATTGTGTGGGAGTTACAGAGACTATAGCTAGAAGGGCCATATTAAGAAATTCACTGGCGTGTAGTACAGAACAAACAGTGGGTAAGAATAGTCTTTTCAACATATGGTGCT